GCCACACTAACCTCAATGCAACTGCAAAGTGCAACCCTCGAACGAGCCAGCAAGCGGCGCAACCATCCTTATATATCATACATGGCTCACGCCACGAAACTTGCAGCCGAGAGAGCTACATTCCACCGAACAACAACAATCGAAAGCATCGGGCAGGATCAAAATCAAGCAAGCAAAGATCAGGGTGCCCTTTCTAATGATCAGAGCATGCAATAGTTGCAATAGGAGAATGAAGGAATTGACGCATGACGGTTACTCACAATTAGCGCTCGATGTCCGCGCGACGACGTCCTATCGCTTGGCCGCAGTGCTCGCAGTGTCTCGACGGTCTCGACCTTGGTCCTAACTCTGACATCCCTGTAACAGCTACCACTGCCGGCTATGCGAGTGCACCTTGCATTCATGTCGCGATCTTGAGCGGCGCCAACCATCGGGTGGATAAATAAGAAAGTGAACAAAGCGCAACGAGCGATACGCTGACACGACGCATTCGGCCGATTCGACGTGGCTGCGAGAAATGGGTAAAATTAAGTGAAATATAGAAGACATTAAACGTTTGCGCGACACGACGAAGGAATAATATCCTCGTACGGATGAGCGGGCGAACAAGTAGGTACGCGTTATGCGTACAAGTATTGTACGCACACACGCACGCAAGCAACCCTGCCGGATCAGCGAATCGTCAGCGGGCAGGTATCAATGATTACTACTGAAACACCGACACGACGGCACCGTTTACGCCAAACGAATTGCACGAACCTGCAACCTGCAACGTCAATCTGCGTCCGGAGATGTACGGCAACGTGAGATGACGTGTCCGTCGTAATGTCGTGAACACGCTCACCGCAGCCACTCGGCTCGTCGCTCAGCTGCCGCCGGCGCCGCCGTTACCGCATCGATCGGAGCACCCTCTACTACCCGCGATTATGATTGGCCGCGCGACGCTTTGTTTATACGCCTGTGTGTATAACTGCAAAGGGCGCGTACCGTGGCGCGACGAATGGACGATTTGACAGTCTTGATGAACGAACAAGAAATGATTTCTAGTATTGGCGAGTCTAACAATGGCGGAGAAAAATATACATGTCGTTTATGTTCTTTTTGTCATCGCAGAATTTTACTTCGCCGAGGGAAAGATTCTTCTATCGAGGATTCATGATGTATAAGTGCTAATTTTTTATATACATATGTTGTAATAATTGGAGTATAAACAGCAGTTTCTTTCTTCATCATGTACAAATATATTTATAAAAATCGGATTTTCTAAACATATATATAATTATATGTATGTATATGTATACACGTATCTATACATATACATTAATTAAAAAAAAGAAGTATTGGGATATTTATATATTAACATTTTTCTTGTCCTATATACATACTAGCACTTAAATTTTTAACTAATTGTCGGCACAAATATCGTAATATTATTTATATGATGATGCTTTCTACATCAATTAATGTATTCAAAAGCAAATATTTTCATTTAAAAAAACAAATTCAACTTTCACACACACACAAATTTGCGAATAAAAATTATTAATAGTAAGATAGACATTGAAATTAAGTAATAACCATTTAAACAACTGCCTGTCCATGATTCGCGTGTATATGGGACATTCGAATTGCCAAGTGGGCCGCTCATTTTGCAAAGTTTCATGGATTTCGTTCATATTGCTTGAACTTGAATAGTTTGATGAATAAAGACTCTATGCCGAATAATATACCTGTAGGCTAACTGGTTGCCGAACTGTATAGAGCCGTTAATTTTTGGGCTTTCTCGTCGCAGCGCTCTTTTCGCTTGTCGTTAGTGGGCATGAAAGGCAAGTTTGAAAATGAAATATAGACGTTTCCTTATAGAAAATTGAACGCTCTTTCACGTAAGAATATATACTCTTTTTTCGATCAGACCGGTTTACGACGATGTTTGTCAGTTTTGAAATTTTCAAAATGGTGGCGCGCCTAAAAGGCCAGTCTCAATTTTCTTTTAATATAGCTCTAAATGTAGCTCTAAATGTAGGTCTCTACTTTGTTACTCTAAAAGGACTTAATAGGACACGCGCATTTGTTTGGGAGTAAGTGCTAGGAAAGTGAGGCAATGTCGCTCCGTCACCCTGCCGGGGCGTCATCACGCTCGGCCCAGTCGCGCGCCCAGCATGGGTCGCTGTTAATCTCTGATGACATTTCTGTATATGCATATGAGTTTAAAAACAATTGTTCTCTGTGTTTATTTAAAGAGAGTCTTAGGGTTGAGACTGTCTTTAAGTAATACCTTAATGTGTGTCCGCATTACAATTGTTTTTTTTTTAGTTTTACGTAAAGTATTAAATTACGTAAATATATTAAAGTACGTAAATGCCTCTTGGACTCTTTTCCTAAATCTAATATTGTTTATAAGCATAAACAAGAAAAAGAAGGAAGCCAATAACGATCAAAGCCGGATCACAATGCTTATTATAATTATGTGTGAATTTTATATACTGCGTATGTAGTCCTCTCATAAATCGCGACGTTATTGATGAGTCTAGTAGTAGAAGCCGGGACGAAACGCCAAAATTATGTAATATTCTTCGCAATATATAAGAATTAAAGATTTAATTATTTACAGAATTTTAAATACGGAATTTTAATTTATCATTTTCAGATTTTAATAATATGATCATTCAAAATACTATTAAGATCCATGATGCTTTGAGCATCAAAAATTGTTAATCAATTAAATTCGTGATATTACTGCCGTAGTAAGTATGTATGCGTCAATACTGAAAAGCGTCGCGATTTATGGGGGGGACTACGCAGTATATAAAATTCACACATAATTATAATAAGCATTGTGATCCAGCTTTGATCGTTATTGGCTTCGTTCTTCTTCTTGTTTGTGTTTATCATTTGTACGGTCCTAAAAAGATTTTAATAATTGTTTATAAGATCAATTGCAACGACTGTGATGCATAGGACAAACAGGAAGAAAACTGAAAACTAAAAATATTAAATTAGTTTAATATCATTGAAGAGCGTCAAACGCGACGGCGGGGAACAGCATTCCGGTGGAGCAGGATGAGGGAAATAATGGGCGCGTGAATGGGAGAAGCTCTAAATCGGTTATTACGGATCATAGGTTGCATTGCGGACATAATTCCGATTGGAATAATGTTGAAGTTCTGGATACTGAGAAATTTTATAATAAGCGTCTATTATCAGAAATGATATATATTAAAAGACAAACCAATGGTTTGATTATACAAAGTGACACCGTTGCTTTAAACTACGCTTATATTGAGTTGCTTAATAAACTATAAGACGTTCTTTTCAAAAAGGTGAGATACGTTGTTATGAGCTATAGTTAGTGCTTTAAAATTTGACCGCAATGTTTTGGTTTAGACTTTTATTATTTGACCGATCATATAACTGACAAGACACTTTGTTCATCTTCATATTCTCATACTTCAATTTTCAATATGTTGACTAATTTTATGCATAATTCTCGTTTCTTATAAATATATGCGATGTACTTGTATTGTATGTGATGACATAGTCATGTGAGCTAGGTGAGCTGATCATTGTGTGAGTAACCTATTTGTGTACTAATAACGAATTTTAATTTTAACCTGAATTTCTCATCACCACTCAGCTTTGTAACTGTTTGAGTATGGATCTTGTCTTATAATTAGTCACGTATCGCATGCAGGAATTGTCGAGATATTATTTTGCGATGCAATATCTTAACTTGTGTGGTAATGGGTGGAATTGTTTGTTGAAGATGACTCGAAATAGAGTTGAAACGTTCAAGGGTTTATATGTCAGATATTATATTTGATTATTATTAAAATTATCGCTATTGTACAACTAGCGCTGACTCCTACAGCCTTTTTACATTGTACACATTGTTTTTAATTGTTTTATCAATATCATTAATATATAATATATTTTTATTTTCTTTATATTTTCTTACTAGACAACGAGAAATTTTTGCATTCAGTCAACCAATCGCTTGACGAGTAATTTCCGTGTCTTAGATTAAACATTTATTTATTAAAAATCATCGACATAAATACATAATACATAAATTTAAAGCCATAATTTACTGCGTTAGAATATTTTTATATCTGAAGAGGGCTTAAATATAAGTCAGAAACATGTGTGGTAGGCCTATGATAATGTCAAAAAGTTTTCATTATTACTTGATTGTATTATTATGATTGTATTATTATTAATTTTTAAATAAACATATAATTTTTTTTTTAGTTACTTTTTTACTCTTATGTGCCTTTTATAATATATTGTTGTATTTTGAATATTAAGGCCCATATTCAGGACGCACTTTTATCGATAAAAGCGCGCTTTTATCTCTGAAATTCTATAGTATATGTGACATAAACTATAGCATGTTAACGCGCTAACATCGTTGTTAGCGCGTTCTGAATACGGACCTATGTGTCCTGTACTATCTTATCTATTTTTAATATTTTAATCTGCAAATTTTGAGATATTTTGTAAAAAAAAACAGGAACAAAAGAAGAAAGAAAAAGAAAAAAAAAAGAATATGATTATAAATTATGATATTGGTTTTGTGTAGAAAGTTCTTCTTTATAATTTCAGTCGATAATCTTGGATAGTGTATTAACTGATCTAGAAAAAGAATACTTGTTCTATAAAGAGATGTGGTAAAAATGAAGGGTAATAACCCCGTCATTGATCTAATATATCCATCGCTTTCCTGATATGATAAATATAATATTATCAATAATCTATATGTGTCTCAGATCACATTATTTACAGCGTGTATGTATATAAATTTTATTGTAAAATGCACAAAAGGAATGCTGCAAATGCAAGCATAAGAAAAAAAAACAGTTTGTAATTATTTTTAAAAATCAAATTTAATATTTTTATTGTAATGTATATAATAACGTTGCACACATAAAAAATGTGTAAAATTGTAAAAATGGTACTTAGTGATCTTAGTGTTTATTAGAGTATATAATGAACACATATCTGTTATGGCGGTAGCTCTATGGGTCCAATTAACAAATCATGGTCTCGTCTGAAAGCAAAAAAATGATATATGCCTAATTATTGTTTGTAAATCATTATTGTAAAATCTTGTGATTTACTTAAGGCGTCAATTATCGCTATTAAAATACATAAAATACATGTACATGTATGTATATTTACACAAAAAAAATTTAATTGAATATAAAAAAATTTCAAATACAGCACATATGTAGATATGTATCTTTATATGCAGTATAAATGCATATATATAATAATTATATATTCCGGTACTATGTTCATTTATTATATACCTACATTTAAAGCAAATTCTGCATATAAAGTATTATATAAATTTGTATGCTGTATACGCGGAATTCTCTTTGGTAATTATTTACAATAGGGGAGGCAGCACCGATGACTTTGACTTTGATATATGTTGTCAAGGTCATGACTCTGAGTAACCTCCAACAGGTTTTAGCCGTCACTCGTCCTTTTCATTAAAAAGTTATTAACAATCATAGTTTTAAAATTAACGTATGCTATACATGTATGATATTAAGTACCATTCTACATCTTTCCCTGTTCAAGAACGTTAAACTTTCCATGCGAAGTAACTGTTATCCCCTTCCCCCCTGTCAAGGGGTATACGACTTCCATGATTGTACTCTTGGGGGAGACCTCTATCGACGAGGTGGGTGCGGGAGGGGGGCGGGCCGTAGGCCCGCCCACTTGCACCCCCCCCGCCGTGTGTGTGTGTGTACGCGCGCTACATATAGCAACAGTATAATCATGGAAGATGTGTGTCTCTTTGCAGCGGGAGGAGGGGGGTGAAAGTTACTTCGCGTGGAAAGTTTAACGTTTCTGAACAGAAAAAGGTGTAGAATAGTACTTAATATCATTCATGTATAGCAGAATGGAGGCGGGAGCCATTAATTAAATAATATATAGCAGAAATAATACGTTAATTTTAAAACTATGATTGTTAATAACTTTTTAACGAAGCACGAGCGACTGCTAAAACCTGTTGGAGGTTACTCAGGATCATGACCTTGATAATATATGTCAAGGTCATCGGTGCTGCCTCCCCTATGCTAAATAATTACCGAATTTTTTGCACAAAATTGTTACTTATGATGAAAAGTGAATATTGTACGAGATTTCTAAGAGGAGAAAATCATAGGTCCGTCCAAGTAAGCCGTCAAAATAAACATCGAACATCCATGCGAAAAAGGTGTTACTACGTATTTGGCGGGATCAGAAGGGCATGATCCATTATGAGTTGCTCCGAAAAGGTCAAACCGTAACTGCTGAGCTTTATCATCAACTGATTCGTGTAAATGACGTTCTTGAAGAAAAAGGCCATTTTCTGGCAGTGAAAGAAGGAAGATGATACAGGATAATACCCGACCCTATGCAGCAAAAAACATTCTGGAAACTATCATATGTCCGATTTAGGCTGGAAAATGCTTCCTAATGCGGCGTATTCTCCAGATTTAATCCCTTCGGGTTATCACCTATTTCGAGCCAGTAATAAAGCTACACCGATTCTAAAACAGATCCTCTGAGAGGGGGAGGGGGAGGGGCGAGGAAGACCCGTGGCGAGGGAGATATGACATCACGGGAGAGGAGTGGATAACGTCACGGTTGCGGGCGAGGGAGTATGACGTCATAGGGAGGAAGGAGGATGACGTCACGGATGCTGGCGAGGGGTATAACGTCACGGGAGGGGAGGGAGATGACGTCACAGGATGAGGAGGAGGAGGTGACGTTTTAGATGATGACGCCGCAGGGTTAGGGGGATGACATCGTGGGGAGTGATGTTACAGGGTGGTAACGTCGTGGAAAATTAGCGCGGGGAGAGGAGAGAATTACGAGGCCCGCGTAGGTGTAGTCGCCGCGGTGTATTACGGTGTATGACGTCACGCGGGGTCAGTAGCCTCCAAGCGCTGTCCCTCCGGGCGCGGTCCGCCGCCGCCGCGTTCGGCGCTCCGAACGGGACATGCAAATCGCGCAGGTTGACGTTTTACAACAGCTTATCTGAACGGAACAATGGACACCACGGTTCATATGGAGGAGCCTGATATGTTACAGCAGATGCTCGAGAGAATCGTTTCAACAGAGAGAAACCAAGACTTAATCAAGAAGGCGAAAGTGATACTGAATCAACTGAATAAGGGAGACATGGTTTGCAGGCTAAATAAATCACTGTACGGGTTGCGACAGGCAGGTCGCCAATGGCACGCAAAACTTGCCGCTACGCTCCAAGGATTCGGCCTGACGCCGACCGAGGCTGATCCATGCATCTACCATGACAAAAATAATCATGTTTTTCTGCTCATCTACGTGGACGACATCCTGATCGCTTCTCGGGATATATACCATATATGTCATCAAGGATTTAAAGAAGAAACTCGCCGAGGTATTCATGATCAAATACCTAGGGGACATGAAATACTGTCTTGGAATAGAGGTATCACAAAACAGGGAGGGAATGCACCTCTCTCAGACTGGCTACATACGTGATATTCTGAACAAATTCGGAATGACTGACAGTAAACCCGTGCGGAGCTCCATGGAAACCGGTATCAAGCTACACAATAGCGGAGATGACCAAATCACTAACGACCTCGAAATGCCATACCGAGAACATTTAGGCTCGCTGATGTACATCGCACAAGGAACTCGCCCGGACATAGCTCATGCGGTGAATGCATTAAGTCAATGGAACTCATGCTTTAAGAAGATATATACTGGATCTGTGCAAAAAGGGTGCTTAGATACCTTAAAGGAACCATTAATCATGGCTTAATCTACACCAAATGCAATAATAACCTCATCGGATATACGGATGCCGACTGGAGGAGTTGCGGACTTGACCGCAGATCATATACAGGAACTGTTTTCTTGTTATCCAATGCTGCCATATTGTGGGAATCAAGAAAGCAGAGGACAGTGGCTCTATCATCGACTAAAGCCGAATACACCGTTGTCAGCGATGCAGCAAGAGAAGCCATCTATTTGTCTAGAATCCTGACGGAGATAGGTCTCTCGTCGAAAGTATCGAAGGTATCGCTGCATCATGATAACCAAGGAGCTGGGAAGCTGGCTGTTAATCCAGCGTTTCATTCTCGCTCCAAGCATATAGATATCCGATGTCACTTCATCAGGCAAGCCTTAACAGACCATCAAATTGATCTTATTTACGGAGGAGATGACCGCCGATATAACGAAGGCATTACCCAGCTGCAAGCTACAATTCTGCGTTGAAGTAATGGGGATCAAGGATAGATCTCTCGGATAGATTTCTGTTAAAATCTGAGGGAGGGTATTGGCAATACAGCAAATTCCCCACAGATCGTTGGGGTTATTCCAATGGACTGTCACGCGCTTCGACTCGTTGAGTCGCCTTTCTACATTCTTCGTGAACTACGTTCTTCTTCATTCTATACAAAACCGTACCATTCGCACGCTTGCTTGCTTTACCCTTTTTGTGACGGAAACGAATAAAGAGTTTGGATTTTCTACGCATAATCTGTACAGTGTTACTTGTCGCATCCCTGTCACATCGCGCTATTCAGCAAAATAAACTTTTAAACTTTTAACTTCGTCAAAAATCATCGTATCGAGATGTTATAAAAGCATTTTAAAGCTTGAAATTTGTACTTTTCAGACTTCAAAAAATTATCTTATTGATATTTCGTGAAGTTATATAAATTAAGATATCAAATCTCAAAATTTTTTACAAAATTTGAGAAGTTCTACGGTGCGAACTAAAAGTTGTACATAAATATGGTTTATAGCTTTCGAAAGACTGAATCTTTACCTTTAATTTGTTTTTCTTCTAACCATTGTACGATTTTTATTTCGCGCCGTACAACCTCACAAATTTCGTATAAAATTTTAAGATTTGATGCATCTTCATTTTTGTTTGTATAATTTCATGAAATTTCGGCAAGACACTTTCTTAAATAATTGTCCTGAAAAGTACAAATTCCAAGCTTTTAAACATCTCGATACGATGATTTTTGACAAAATTATTCTATCTCGAAGTTCGACTATTTTTGCAGGGTGGAACAGGTGATGCTTTAATTTTGTCGAGTAGTGTATTAATTTATTATGGAATTTTTTTATAATTTTTATAATTTCAAGAAATTCTTTTTTGGAAAAAGTTTTTTTTTTAGAAAAAAAAAGCAGAAATTTTACTTTAAAATTTACCTGTAAATATCCGCGTTATGCTGTCGGACGATCTACAATAAGTTTCGAATGATGAGTCGTAATTTATCAAAGTTTGTCTGGCGTCCTCGCACCAATTCCAAAAAATGATCTTCTGATTTCGTACGGTGAGATCCGACAAGAGTAATGCTAGGTTTTTCGCGACTGTAGCATCAATCCTAAGCACGTGACGACCTTCCACTATCACTGGTAACCTTGTCGGTTCTTTCTTATCGCACCTATAGATATGCAACAAAGTCGCAATTCCGAAGTAACTGTCTTTTTCAAACGCAAACAAGATATGTAGTGCGGAAAAAATATAAAGTGTATAGTATCTATACATAATATTGCTCTTTACGATGGAAATAATTGTTTTTGTAAGGAAAATATTCTCTAAAATAATTTTAAAAGAAACGGAAGATTACTTAAATTAAAGATTTAATCTGGAAAAAAAACAATACTTAACGAAATAATAATTATTCAATTTGCCAAGATATTGAATGCCGTTTAAAATTTTGCGGTACTTAACATTTTTTTAAAGATACTTAGCATATGCGCGAGTTTGAATAAATTTTTACGCGGATTTGCGGTGGGACTTACCACGACATTACTTGCTCTCGAAGGTACTCTGCTGCTGGGAAGCTCAGGGATTGCTTGGGCGATACGAAAAGCATGGTCAAGCCATCAACGATTCGCTCTTCGATCAATAACCCTGGTCGGGCCGCAAAATAGAGTAAAAGAATTAGATTAACCGCAATCCCAGCGATCATACCGTATTCCAAACCGATCGTCAAGCAACATAATAACGTCACTATTAACGGCACTAGATCAATTTCTATTCAACGCAAACAAAAAAAAACGGTTAATTTTAGATAAACTGGCTAAAAACATGAGAGAGAGAGAGAGAGAGAGAGAGAGAGAGAGAGAGAGAGAGAGAGAGAATTTATACTGAAGTATTAATACATTGTGTAACAGTGGAGGATAGTTTATAGCGCGGCCGGGCACGAGCGCACGAGCGAAGCGAGCGGTGCCGACCTATAAACATATGCCCCCACTCGCTACACATAGAATTTTTCATTACAAGTGCTCGTCGTAATGTGCCCTATACAGCAACGTTTTTGCGCAGAAGAGTGTGATTAGAGAAATAACTCAACGGCTTGAGGTATTGGCTATTTACCGCACGCAAAAGCGTTGCGGTATAGGTAGGGCACATTACGTGCACGCGTGATGAAAATTAAATAAAATACTTTCTCAAACGTTGTGTTATGCTTTTGTATCTTACCCGTAGCTTTCAAAATAGAATTTAACGTATAATTACAGTAACAAATAGCAATCACAGCTACATAAAGAATTTAATTTACAAAGTATACAGAATAAGGGCAAAGAGCCAGTAACAATAATCAATTTAAATTTAAAAAATAATAATAACAATCATGTAAATAAAGTAACAAAGAAGTTTAATATAATAAATAAATAATACATACGTTTCGACTCCGATCGGGTCATTTTCAATGTTACTGCAGTTAAAAAATTTTAAACCATGATTAAATTACAAAAAACATTAATATAGTTTCTACAAAAATTACAAATAGTTAAGTCGTTGTGTTTCTAATTTCGCATTCTTCGTTCTGTTCAATGTTGTAAGTCAAGTTAGCAATAAATAGACAATCTAAGTAGTGGCAATGAAATTAAAGAGAATTAATATTAAGTCACATAGATTTATAATTGTAAATATATATAAGTGTACTTTATATAGTTGTATATGTAACATCTTTTCTATAGTCAAACGATAAAAAGAAGAGAGAAACGAGTTTATAGTCATTCATATTGTGATGGCACAATTTACTTTTTTAGAACAATTTTACAGTTACTTAATTGCGTTAGAGAGACATAACTGATATTTCAGACGGCTTCATATGATAATGTTAAACAGGAAGATATTGAGGAAGGAGAAATGGTAAAAGAGAGTGGAGACAGAAGGAAGATATTAGGAAGGGAAAGAGAATTAATGATATTAGAATACAATTCTGGTAATGAATCTGTATCATTTTGCCTATTTATACCATGTATTTGTTTTTCAACCACCATTTCAGATATTAATCTTTTGTTGTATGTTTTATATCTAATATCTCCACTTTATCCAATTTAAAACGTACAATAATTCTTAAATAGCAAAACTCCTGTATAAATAAAAAACTAACTTGGAAATAAGAAAAGGGCACTAGGAGTCAAGCGCAGATAACTTCACGCAACGCCGATATATATCAAGCAAATCTATTTATTACAAACAATTAAGCTTATATGTTTCGGCTCATTTTTTAGCCTTCTTCAGAGACAATAAAAAATAATTTAAAAATAACAAAGTATAAAAAGATGTTTAATCATAGTGAGCTCCCTCACAACCAAGAAATAAATTATGATGACAATTTCATTTTAAAGAACACAATTAAATGAATAAAAAAAGGCAAGAAATAAAAAGAGAGCTGAAATTCTGGGAAAACAATTTTCTAGAATCTCTTAGAAAAATAATAATTTCCAAATTAAATTTATCGTAATTACAATTATTTTACCGGGAGTGAGGAAACTCAGCATGTTCACAACGATACTATATTGCAAACAATCTCAAGACCGATCTTCAGAATAATTTAGGCCAATCAGTCTCAAACACAGTGAGTCACAACAAATATTTTAACAGTATTAAATTAAGTTATGAAATCACAATTACAAACCGACATGGAGGGGCTTCCCAAGATCTACTTCCTGATCATAGACAGGATATAAATAGCGTTGTTGTCTGTCACGTCTGTCTAGTCAGTCTCGCTTGTGCACAGTGGTTGAGTCTTAGCATTTGATATTGTAATTTGATTATGACATAAAAATGTTTTCATTTTTATGTCATAAGTAATCATAAAATTGTTCTAAATTTTCAGTGAATTCATTTATGCATATTGTGATGATCATACAAGTCTATCTGGGTATTTTTTAAAATTGTCAACTTATTTCACCTAATATGTTAAATCTACCCCTTTAAGAGGTAGTTTTCACCTTTCAAAGTGGACTCTTGCCGATAAAAAAAATATGTATCAAATATTTTTCATAGTTCTACAAATTTGCAAAGTTTTATCAAAATCGGTGAGTGACACCTCTGTAGGTTTACTCGTCAGAGTTTATCGTTAGAAATTATGCAAAAGGTGTAGAGGACGTAAATACGGCGTATAGACAGCTGAAAAGTATTTCTCAACTCGGCATATATAGTCTAGGTTTAATCAAAAATTTTTTGCCAATGGTTTTAGAATATATCATAAAAGCAGGTTTCGAAGTTTTTGACCTATTTTTTTTTTTGTATAGATTGAAAATTTGTAGGGAATGGTCTTATTTTTATGTCAGATTTGTATTCAACGACTTAAAATACATAAGAATAGCTAGGTTTTTATCAGAGTACAGGATACTTTTTTTGTAGGTCTGTGTAATTATTAAATAATTCCGCTATTTCAATGTGTAACATATGTATTAAAATATATTTATTTTTTGAACAAAATGTTTTAATAATAATTAATTATTTAATTATAACACATAAGAGTTTTAGTAATATTTTTTTGTTTGAAGCTAATCGAACATATAACGTGTGCATAAAAACCATACTGTTTAAAAAAATAAGTCTTCGATTGTATATGTTAAATGTATAATTTAGACTGAACTCTTAAGACTCTCTCTCTCTCTCTCTCTCTCTCTCTCTTTACGTTCGTAAATAAAACTTTTATAATAAGCTTTCCAAATCTAATTCTCTTTTTATCGATAAATTAGAAAATATAAACGACCGAAAAAAAACATATTTGAAGAGCAGCATGATTTCGAGACATTTAGAAAGTATTTACAAAGTAATTTTAGTATCTTACTCTTTGTTCTCCAAAGAAGAATAAAAATGTGTGTTTCGAACATATAGAACATTGCGATCATGATGACAGCCGCTAACGTGGCTTTGGGAATAAATGTGAAAGTAGATATCAACTGGTTGCATGCCAAAATTGTTATCACCAAACTGCCAGTGATAACACCACCCAACGGTGTTTTGACGCCAGACGAATTGTTAATAGCGGTACGAGTGAAACTTCCAGTTATAGGCATTGATTTCACAAAGCTACCGCATATGTTACAAAGCCCAAGCGCTAGCATTTCTTGATTGGCGTCAAGAGTCTTTCCTTTCGCTGCAAATTTACCAAAAATTTTTGGACACGTAAGTATAAGTTTCGCTTTATAAATCATTATCAAAGGAAGCAGCTAAAGAGTCTTTCCTTTTGTTGCCAAAAATTTTCGGACATATAAATAAATTTCGTTTTATGTGTGAATTATTATTAAAAAAGACAATTAAAAATTCCGATAACTCTTATTAACTCATACATCAGTAATTCGTAATATTCGGTCGGTAAATCTACTGAAAGGCGAGTAGGAGTCTACCTTTCTCTTTTAAAAAATCAAATTTTTTAAAAAATTTATTTTTTAATTATACACATTTGCTTCAGAGATCATCGAATAATTTGTAAATTAAACTAGATATCGTTACACACAAAAAAATGAATTCTTAAAGAAATGCATATATGCTTTAATTTAAGAATATTTTATTATTAGAATAGCGCCAAGGATAAATAATCTCCGATTGAAAATAAATTATTCTTGAAACAAAGTGAAAAATGTTCTTACAATTAGTTGAAAATTAATTTTACTTTAATTAAAGAATATAGTGGCATTCGTTCAAGATTAAATATGCTCGTATTAATATTATTTTTCCTTCAATGACACGTTTCATCAACTTAATGAAAGCATAAAATTATTTTAATTCAAACGATAAATATTCTTATATAAACATTAGTGATTTTACCGGATTTAATGCATTAAATGCTTAACACAGACTTATCTATATATCTCCGTAACCAAAACTAACACTTGTAAACTTTCCTTTCTTAACTTAAGATTTGTGTAAGACCGTCGATATTGAAAACAAGTAAATATGAAATCGACCTATGACGGTCAAAAACTGAAAACTCCTAGAAAGCACATGTACATTTCTTTATCTAGTAAAAAAACTTGAACTGTTACTCAATTACTTATATATAATTAACCAAAGGAAATATGATACCTCAGGAGTATTATGTGTGCAACGGAACGCAGCCCTTGTCGTAACAGCCGAGAAATGCCGATACCTGTACAAGCAGACGGATCTGCTGCAGCGGATTCATTGCTCATCTCACTCATGTTATTTATGGGTAGCAGATTCGCTGCGGCAGATCCGCTTGTATGTACAGCAATCCGACGTTTCTTTGCCGCTGTGACGAAGTCAGCCGTTTGTTACAATGTAGGTTAGGCAAAACGAGCTGAACGTCACTTACCTTTGAAAGTTTGAATCACATTTGGAAACATATCCCACGAATACAACATTTCACTTACGAAATTATCTTCGTTCACTTTCTTTATTTCCGTCATCTTAATTGATACTGGCGTCTGCCGACATCACCGAGTTTCATATACACACTTTTGCCCGCGAACGCGCAACAAATGAACATAGAATAATATAAGTCGAGCGCATTTTCAAATATGTAATTCTTAATCCAAAAATGAATAGCTTTCAAATAATGTGATTGAGCTTATTAGAACAATATAACGGTTTTAAAAACAAGAATACGATTTCAAGAATAAAATACGAGGGTCGTCTGAAAAGTTTTGAGCCTAACATAGAAACAAGTAATTTTTCGGTCAAATTCAATTTTATTTTTCCACATAGTCTTCTTTTAAGTCGAAACATTTTTTCAAAAGAACATGTTTGTCATATATTGACTAAAGAATTAGGCATACGTAAGTTAACCACGCGTTGGGTGCCGCGCTTGCTCACTCTGAATCAAACGCATTCGAATGAACATTTCTAAGGCTTTGTTGGAGCGGTTTAAGCGAAACGAATCGAACTTTTTGCGTCGATTAATAACGGTTGATGAAACTTGGGTCCACCACTTCACTCCTGAAACGAAAGAACAATCAAACAGTGGACTGCGAAGGGTGAACCTGCTCCGAAGAAAGCGGAGACGGTTTTATCGGCGGGAAAGGTGATGGCGACTGTGTTTTGGGATAGTCATGGAATTGTGTTGATCGACTATCTTGAAAAAGGTAAAACAATAACAGGGATGTACTACGCATCATTATTTGACAAGGTGAAAACAGAAATTGAGAAAAAACGACCGCATTTGAAAAAGAAGAAAATGCTGTTCCATCAAGATAACGCACCGTCTCACACTTCGGCGGTCGCTATGGCAAAAATTCACGAATTGCGGTTCGCATTAATTGACCATCCATCGTATCATATTCACCAGATCTGGCCCCCAGTGACTTTTTTCTGTTTCCTAGGCTCAAAGTTTGGCTCGGAGGACAGAAATTTTCATCGAACGAGGAGGTCATCGCTTCCGTAGACGCCTATTTTGCAAAACAAGACGCTCAGTATTATTTGAATGGATTAAAGGGGTAGAAACATCGCTGGAAAAAAAGGAATGACTTAAAAGGAGACTATATGGAAAAATAAAATTGAATTTGACCGAAAAATTACTTGTTTCTATGTTAGGCTCAAAATTTTCAGACGACCCTCGTATACTTCGCATAATTTTTTATTGATGCAAGTAAACATTTGTAATTAAAGAGAGTTTTTCATACTTAAAGAAAGCAAATAGCATTTAAGAATAAAAATATACGTGAATCAAGAATTCATTTTTTCTGTGTACAAAATTTAAAAAAGAAGTCCATATTTTGCTTTATCGACGCAATATTTCCTTCTATCATGCACTTTTAATTGAAGTTAGTTCCTTTTAAATTTGCGAGCAATATTTACTCACCAAATGCTTTAGCGATGGCGATACTCTCTAAGACGGCTACAAATGGTATCGTGAGGACGCTGCTACCAAGTTCGCTGACTATTTCTGTGAATGTATATGTACGGCTTCCGTTTACAATGGTAAACGGAGGTAAAGAAAACGGTGGTAAACCCTCAGTTATGTTGCCCGTAATTTGGAAAGGCTTGATTTCATAAGAAAATAGCACGTAAGCTATGAGAATTCCAATCATCATGACTATGGCGTTTCTGGCCAAGGCGATTAGCCACATGAATTTTTCAAAAGGAGTTCCTAGCTTTTTACCGGGCAGTTTCTATTTTTTTGAAAATTTCATTTTATTAATCATATCTTCATTGTAAATATTAAAAATATCCGTGTGAAAATAAAAAGTGCATATTTATTAGGAGTATAAATGAGTTTCCGCCGTTTGATAAAAGATGGCGCCACCAGTATGTTATGGTTAAAATTGTCTGCTGTAAAACGTTATACCGTAAGTTTGGACATCTGGCAACAACATAACCTTGAAATATTAGCGATTTTGTATCAGCATCATATATCTTTTTTCGTGTGAAAATGTCAAGTTTTGAGCCGAATAAGCGTCATTGCAGGAGCTTTTGATTTACTTCTTTAATTTGAAGAAATCTGCAGTTGAGGCGCATCGATTGCTTGTAGAAGCATATAGTGAGGCTGCCTTAAGTAAGAGAAGTTGCCGTAAGTGGTTTCAAAAGTTCAAGAACGGTAAATTTGACGTCGAAGACAAAGAACGTAGCGGAAAGCCGAAAGTGTACGAAGACGCGGAATTGGAAGCATTATTGGATGAAGATTCGTGCCAAACGCAAGAAGCACTTGCACTTACATTAGGAGTGACTCAACCAGCAATTTCACATAGCTTAAAATCATTGGGAATGATTCAAGAGCAAGGAAATTGGGTTCTGTATGAACTGAAACCAAAAAACGTTGAACGCCGATTTTTCACATGTGAAATGCTGCTTGCCAGGCATAAACGAAAGGGTTCTTTGCATCGTATAGTCACTGGTGATGAAAAATGGATCCACCACAATAACCCAAAGAAGAAGAAATCATGGGGACCACCTGGCCATACTTCAACATCGACAGCCAAGCCGAACATTCATGGAAAAAAGCTCATGTTGTGTATTTGGTGGGATCAGCTTGGTATTGTGTATTATGAGTTGCTCAAACCGAACGAAATCATTACTGGGGCTCTCTACCAAACACAATTGATGAGATTGAGCCTAGTACTCAAGGAAAAACGCTCCCACTACTACTCCAGACGCGACAAAATTATTCTTCTGCATGATAATGCTCGTCCACATGTTGCGGCGCCGGTCAAAACCTACTTGGAAACACTCAATTGGGAAGTTTTACTCCACCCGCCGTATTCACCAGACATTACTCCTTCTGATTACTACTTGTTTCGATCGATGGCGCATGGCCTGTCTGAGCAACACTTCATATTATATGAAGAAAAACTGGGTCGATTCGTGGATAGCTTCAAAAGATGACCAGTTTTTTCGACATGGAATCCACCAATTACCAGAAAGATGGGAAAAAGTAGTGGCTAGCGATGGACAATACTTCGAATAAAACATTAGGTACCGTTCTTTCACAATAAATGCCCAATTTTTGATAAAAAATGGGGCATTTATTGTGGAAACTTATTTATACTCCTATTAAAAGAAGACTACAGTGATTATTTGGCATTTAATCCTAATTGAAAATAAGATTTTTTTAATGGTTAATTACCTGATGTGCAAAAATTTATACAATTTTTAAGGAAAAAATTTACCAAAGCGACACTGACTTGTTAATTCTTATACCCGAATAAAGGACCCCGCTGAATCCTTATGGGAAATGGCTTTCGGCTAATTTAAAAAAAAAATTGAATATCTTGTAGTTCTCAACACGTAGAACAAAAGTGTCCATGGCCACAGTCCGATCACGGGTAGTTTTCGAGATACAGCTCTCCAAAGTTAGACTTTTCGTATCTTATTGCAGCGTAATGCGGGTGCAGTCAATGTCGATGTACGATGATGCTTATGATTAAAGTAGACGTACAGGTGCTTGCTTGTTTGTTTGTATACACGCACGCACGCACGCACGCACAGGAGAAAGGGTTTGAAGTCATAAAATACTGCGAGAGTGACAAACTGTAGGTTTATATCTCTGCTGACCCACACGCACACACACGCACGCGCACACACACACACACACACACACACACACACACACACACACACACACACACACACACAAAGCAAGCAAGCAAGCACCTGTACGCCCACTTTAATCATAAGCATCATCGTACATCGACATCGACTGCACCCGCATTACGCTGTAATAAGGTACGAAAAGTCCAACTTTGGAGAGCTGTATCTCGAAAACTACCCGTGATCGGACCTTGGGGCCATGGACACTTTTGTTCTACGTGTTAAGAACTATAACATATCAAATTTTTAAAAAAATTAGCCGAAAGCAATTTCCCATAAGAATTCTGCATTATTAGCAATAAATTATTAGGAATAAAAAAATTTTTATTTGACACTAAGGAGTTTCGATTAAAACAGTGCTAATAAAATACTAAAATTTTTCCTACGGACAATTATCTAATAATAATTTTTGTAATTTGTGTGCGTGCGTGTGTGCAATTTGGTAATTTTTAATCAATTTACCTTGAGAATAATTAGTATCACCATTGAGCATATTCCTAGCACTGTATCCCAAAGTTGGGTTTCATTTATATGCCAAATAACATTTGAAATAGAATCGATAAAGGAGTTACTACGCCCTTTAATACCTAGTAAGGTACCTAATTGGGAACTAGCGATAATAATCGCCGCAGCATTACTGAAGCCGCAAATTACGGGCATGCTTATAAAGTCTATGAGAAATCCCAAATGAAGTACTCCCATGATTGTGATTACGACGCCTGATAAGAAGCATACGAGTATCTGAAAATGATTTCATTCAAATCAAACATTGTTAAAAACAAATTAAAATAAACTATATATCTTGCAATAAAATCACATCATCAATTATAAATATATATAATAATATATCATCAAATATAGAATTATTCCAATTGAATGTAATAAATAACTTAAAAATAAACGCAAAACAAATATATATCAAGGAATTAAAAAATGATTATAATAAATTGTAATATTAACTTGATACAGATATATTAATAAAGTAATTATACATTGTATATATAAAGAATAAAATTTAATTTGTAAACATATTAGACGAGAATTAATAAGCGTCACTTACTGCAATGTCTTTTCCCAAATTGCTCACGTATGTCTGTATCATTAATGACATTATTGCGGTAGGTCCTACCGTCACATCCTTACTACTACCGAAGATTAGATAAACGAAGCAACCCATGAAACTGCTGTATAGGCCATACTGAAGTTTTCAAAAATTCACCAAACGAGAGTTGTCTTTCCAACTATCGTAGATTAGATCAGTTACTCGATGGAGACTTCCTCAAAATACTCAAGAAATTAAATTAATCGAGCGAAAAATTGCTAGTAATTCCACGAGTGTGCGATCTTCATTTTTAAACTAGAATCATCATGAGTCTTAGGATTGTGAACGAAATCTTCACGGACTTCCAAAATAGTTTGAGAATTGTTAAATACTAACTAAAATTTTATTTTAAATGGTTTTAACATTCTAGAATATATAACAATAACAGATTTTTCTAATAGTTTTTTTTTTAAGAATTATCGTTTATGCCAAAGTACCGAAAAACGAGTTTTACTTCGAACGTCATTCACAGAAGGAAGTTTATATTTGCGGCAAGTACACAATTCTAAGTGTATATATGTATATACTAGTGTATATATGTGTATACTAGTATCGTATACTCACCTGTGCCGGAAGTCCAGCCACTACTGCATACGCTATGCCCTGCGGTATTGCGGTCAGACCCACTGTCAATCCTGCCAAAGTGTCCTGCAAAAGTTTGGTCCAACTGTACAAAGGTAGCCATGCTAAAATCGGTATCCTTCGCAGGAGAAGTCTCTTGAGGTTGCAACTTTGGGAGAGTATAACATTCGGCCCTATAATTTGCATAATAAACATGTAAAAACAAAAATCGTTGTAAAAAAAGATTAAAAGAAAAATTTAGATTATAATCTTGTAAATAAAATCTATATGAGAAAATGAAAAGATCGAGTCATGTTAAAAAAAAAGTCTTCAAAAATTTAAACCTTTTTATTTAATAATAATATATTACCATGTAAGGTAACTGATATATTATTAATTAAAGGTGCTAGTTCAAAGTAAACATACATAAAATGTATGCAACTTTTGGTCAATTTTTGAATCGGTGCGCAATCCAAATAGACTGCGTCGTGCGGCATTCGCGGAGCGATGAGGTGAAGGGAACAGCGGAAGGTGGGGGCGCGCTTTGAACTGGCACTTTTAATTAATAATATATCAGTTACTTTTCATGGTAATATACTATTATTAGATAAAAATGTTTAAATTTTTGAGGATTTTTTTGAACATGGCTTGACCTTTTCATTTTTATGATATGATTTTTTTAAGATATTATTTACTTTTTAGAGTACAAATATATCACAAATATATATAAAAAAAGATTTAAAAAAAATATTATATAACGAAAAACAGTGAAATTTGGTGAAAGAGAAGGGTAGTGGAAGTGGATGGTGGGGAGGTGGAAAGAGGTGCGATATGAGTTGAAGTTGGTGGAGGTGTGAGTGAAAGATGAGAGAGGAGAGAGATGCACATGACTGCGGATAGAGAAGGAGAAGAAGGAGACATTACTTCATTTTTTATGAAAATCATCATTTTTCAACTGCTTGTATATCCAGAATGGCTTGATCAATTTTTAATTTTTTTAGCTCAAATTACTCGTGGCGATGCCGCCTTTCAGAATATATTACGATCCAAAATTTTTTATATTTTAATAGTTATGTACCACTGAAAACTAGACCTTGGTGGTTCAGGATAAGAGACTTGTAGTGTCTTTTAAGTTTTTGAACATGGCTGGAGATACTACCGCGTCTCCTGATGTAAGAAATGGATAAAAGTGCATAAAAAGGGAGGCCAGCGCTATGATCTTGACCTTGACACATGTTATCAAGATCATAACCCTGAGTGACCTCCAACAAGTTTTAGCCGTCGCTCGTCCTTTTTTTTTCATTAAAAAGGTATTAACGATCATAGTTTTAAAATTAACGTTTTATTTCTGCTATACATGTATGATATTAAGTACCATTCTACATTTTTCCCTGTTCAAGAACGTTAAACTTTCCATGCGAAGTAACTTTCACCCCCTTCCCCCCTGTCAAGGGGCACACGATTTCCATGATTGTACTGTTGGAGGAGACCTCTATCGACGGGGCGGGTGCGGGAGGGGGCAGGCCGTAGGTCCGCTCCCTTGCATCCCCCCCCCCGTGTGTGTGTGTGTGTACAACTAAATAACATTAATTATTTAATGAATTATACATACATAGCGTCATGATCTTGACACGTTATAATTTTTAGTGCATAAATAAATTTTCACTATTATAATTTGTCACACAATCTGCGAAATTGACTTATATTAATATGTAAAATTGTAGCTTTATAGATGTAAACTTTCGAAGAAAAACGTTTGCAAATAAAAGACTGTCTATTCAGCACAATGCTCAATAAATACTGATACCTTCAACGTTCTTGATAATCTATTACGACGGGAAATACAATGATTTATCAAGTGCTTGATTACCAGGTTGCGATAACGTGACGATCATCGCGATAAGACTTTCTCAAACAAACGGTAATCAAAAGACGATTTAGCATTAAGATAAATGTACCAGTTAGTGAACATGAACCAATTGTTGAACAAAGCGATAAAACATTTCAAATATAAAGTTTTTAATGGTATGTACGGGTCTAAATTAATTTGTTATTAAATGTTTACGAACAACATTTAGAGTCACATATATTATTAAAAGCTTAATATTTAATATTAATTGTTGTAGTACGGTATACGGTACCATTCATTCCAGTCATTCAGAAATAATATACAGGGTATCCGTCCATAAGTATCGGAGCAAATATCTCGCAACTGGTTGAAGTTATACAAGAAAGTTTAATAAGAGAAATTTGTACGACTCCGAGTCAGTTACAAAGTGCATGCAAAAATTTTTTTATACTCGTTGCTTTTTCGAGTTATGTAGGTTAACATAGTTTTTTTAAATGGATACCTCACCGCGCGCGGTCATAATGCCGCTCGAGCAACATTTGATCTGCGCGCGGGACGGTGAGGGGGACAGTGGAAGGCGGAGGTGATTCGAAAATCGGCCGAAAGTTACATACACTTTACGTATGTTCACTTTGTACTGACACCTTTAATTAATAATATATCAGTTACTTTTCATGGAAATATATTATTATTAGATAAAAATGTTTAAATTTTTGAGTATCCTTTTTTGAACATGGCTTGAACTTTTCATTTTTATGATATGATTTTGTTCGGATATTATTTATTTTTTAGAGTGCAAATATATCACAAATATATAAAAAAATGATTTAAAAATTAAGATTTCTGTAAGACCGTCGATATTGAAAACCAAGTAAATATGATAATGAAATCGGCCGATGACGGTCAAGCAGGATTTTGGTTGCTAATGTAATATATGAATTTTATTTACCACGTATGTAGTCCTCAATCGCGTGCCGAAATTATTTCAGACTTACAACGCAACTCTAATCAACTACCGTAGTAATATCACTTTAGTTAAATTGACACAACCAATTTAACAAATTTTTAATGCTTGTAGCATCTTATTGGATCTTAATAATATGTTGAAAGACATATTAAAATCTAACGATGGTAATATTAAAATAATGATAAATCAAAATCTGTGAAAAATAAGATTGTGAAGAATATCACTACGTCGGTCGACCAGTTAACAGAGGTCTATAGTTACTCTTGCCAATTCTCACAAGTACCGAGATACATGTGTATCTGTTTATATAGGACTTATTTCTAATATCTCCCCCAGGCATCTAAGGTAGGCTCCCACTACATTCTCTCTGTTTCACTCGTTGCAGTCATATACTTGCCATATTATTCGTGCTGTCTCTCTCCTACTCGTTGTGGTCCCATACTTACCCTATTATTCTTCTCGCACGCAATTTAATTAGACATTTACGATTTTTAACGACGTCACTAATCAATTAATCATGATAAAAATTTTTATTAATATAATTAATTATGATAAAATTTTTTAGTAATGTAATTAAAACAAATGGTCAAGCGCACTTTCTCATCAACTAGTTTAATACTCATTGAATCGTACTACTGAACAGCTAACATATAAATTGATACTTAATTGTAGGGAAGACTCGAAAATGTATTTTAGGCAGTGTATGCAATTTGGAATTTTATTTATCCTCACAAATATGTCAATTTTTCAGTGTAACTGTTATCACACATACTTTAAACTGTACTGCCTCATATTGTAAGAATGACTCATATTGTAAGAATGCACTTTAACCATAACGAACCCTTTTTTGTCTATGGGGATCGAAACCAATGATAACAATAGAGTTTATCTATACGATTGCGATAAAATCGTCCCTTCAGAAAAGTTGAATTTGTCGAAACGTATTCAAACATGTTAAAACACATTAGAACGTGCTAATACTTAACTACAAGGAAAAGAAAGGGGAAAAAATCAAAATATATTATATATTAAAAAAAAGAATTTCATATTTTATATTTTTTTAAACTTGATACAATTTAAATAGATATGATCGTCATATAGAAGGGAGCAAAAAAAATTGAGGACCGTGGAGAAGATTAGAAAGAAATAGAGATTAGAATTATAATCTTTGTTATTATTTAAAATTATTATTTTAATAATTTGGTTAATTTATTTAGAGAAAAAGCCTCGCGCGTTCTTGTCATAATGCTATATATAACAGCTGAATAGAGGCAGGGGTAAATAAGACTGAAAATAATTAAAAAATTGAGTGATATACTTAAGCATCATATTATACATTTTTTTCTTTTACGTATGATAAAATTATTAATTTATGTTTCCTCGAGAGGTCTCCGCTCTCTCTGTATCGTCTCTTCCCAAATCGCGCAATATACGGCTCATTGCCATAGCGTCGTTCGCCAGACCCAACAAATAGTTCTCGTATTCTTCAACTTTATTGATTGTTTGTGCAATCGTAGTATCTACACAGTTCCTGAAACATACAATGACAAGATTTACAGCATGAATTAATAGATCTCATCTGCACATTTATCGCATGTAAAAATATAAGAACTTGATCATGCACAGAGCACCGCTACAAATAAGTGCACGAATCCTACATTAGGATTTCTTTCACTTAATTGATGGAATTAAAATTTATCTAATTAAATAAATATTTTTATACGATTTATAACATATATATATATATATGTATTTATACATTTATATATGAATATAAGGGAGACCGTGTGCAAAGTAACATTTTTTACATATGTATTAGCTATCTCTTCTTTTAGAGGTATGAAATGTTATTCAAGCAGCCTTAAGAAATTTCCATTGTTGCTATTGCATCTATGTTTGAGTCCCAAGTGATACATATTTAGATATAAGAGATCATTTTAGTTACGAACTCTTGACAGGAAAACATTAATTGCTTTCTGACACTATCTACATTATCTGACAAAGAAAATTATATCTTATTCTTTTAATCGTACGAACGTCTAACTTGTGGACATAACATACCAATACGACTTATACAAAAATTTTATCAACATAACTTTACTTTTTCTCGCTTCCGAACGAAGAAATAGTATTCATTATACCTCTTTTGGACTTGAAGAATATCACACCTTATAATAATTCAATGTAAATATAATTTCTTATTGTCTTTTTTTATTCTTTTTTTATGATTGATGAAGATTAAGTTAAGTCGAAACGTTCCTATTAATTGATATTTATGAATTAATAAATAAATTTTTCAATACAAAGAGATGAAAACCAAGAGTTTTTGTGATTGAGCATAGTCTCGAAAGGTCGTTTGCCATGGCTATACCAACGTTTGTCGATCTGCAAGGATTTATCGTTGGAAAGAAATTTATCACAAAAGAAGTGGCGGTGTTGAGAAAAGGAGTCATTCTCTCTTATTACATCTTTACATGTCCCATGCCATGGAATTTCTTGACAAATTCCGAAAAATATTGCGCTTCCTGGCTGATTGTGAGTGCTTATCACCATGGATTGCAATGGGAAGACGGGATAATCCCGTACAACATGGCGAAACGCCTGATTACAATGACTGTAATTGGTGTGGAAGAGAATGATTCCAATAAGGCCCTCGTATATGTTAAAAGACATGAAAAACGTCAATGGCTGGCTGATATGCTCGATAGCGACGACTTGACCATTGAGATGACCTTCGATGCCGATTACGAAGATATACAATCATTGAATAATCTTGATGTTACTAATACTATGCGATGTGTAAAACATGTTAAGAATTGTGCGTTACAAAATGTATTTAAAATATATAACTGGTGATCGTAACGCCTAAAAAAATTGTATCAAGTTTAAAAATAAAGTATAAAATTTTCTATAATACGTTTTAATTCCTTTCCTCTTTCCTTTCCTTGTAGTTAAGAATTAGTTAACAATCGCTGTTCAATAGTAGTATGATTTAATAAGTATTGAATTAGTCAATAAGAAAGCATGCTTGACCATTTTTTAAATATAATAAAATAAAATTTAAATCACGTATGCGATTCACGTGTGTAATTTAAATCACGAATCAGAACCACTTTTTCAGCTTGCGTTCTATTAAGTTCGGTCTCCTTCTCTCTTACTTCGTGGTCTCCACAAAGCGTACATTCCCATTGTAAATAAACTATGATCGCTCAATATTGTTTTAATTGTCTTCCCGCTCAGTTTGTTCCGATCTGTCTTGGAAGTCACTATATCTTTATATATATAATCAACAAAAATTCATCATTAGTTTACAGTTACAATGTATTATCATTATATATTTAAGCGGAACATATTATTAATTGTAAATTTATTATTATATCCTATATCTTGTAAGTAAATCTTCTTTTCTCTTTTATCTCAGAATATTTATACATATCATTATATTATATCTTAATATTAATGTTGCAGAAATGTTTGAAATTATCAATGTTATATATTTCTACAATAATTTTATCGTTCAACAATATTTGAAGTCTGAGGAGGACTCAATACAGAGTCGAAACTGGTCACATCATCTTTTAAGTAGTTTTTTGTAAACAGTATTTTAACATTTTGATTGTATTATTTAGTTTAGAATTAAATATATCAACATTTTTTCATATAATTTTTAATTTTAATTTGACTCTTACTTCGCCCCCCCTTTCATGGTTATTGATTATTGTTATATTAAGAGTCCTTGAATGTTTCAATTTATTTATTAAAAATTGTATTTACAAAAAAGAATTAATTTTACATTGTTTTTTCTTATACATAATATTTAAGTACTAAGCAAATGGACGGAAAACTCAATTGCAAACTTAAAATTTAAGTGAGAGAGAAAGGCGAGAATAAGAAAAAAAGAAGAAAATGTTATTCTGTCGTGAAACCGTATGGAAGGGAATAACGATTATTGATAAATCTTCGTTTTACCAATACCGGTGCACACGTCTTTGTTTCGTTTCGCGATTTCGTGAAATGCTATGCACCGAATTGCGTTAAAACGCAATTTTATCGTTGACATTTCTTCTTCTTATTCTCACCTTTCTCTCGCATTATCCATTATTAATTTCTTCATACTATTAAAATTGATAATTTGGGAATTCTTATAATTTAAAGTTATACCCTTTATACTTTACAAATTTCGTGTCGCCGATCTTCCGGTGTACGAATGACGTACGCGTTGAATTTCGGACCTCCGGACACGAATGACTCGGCTCTTGAGTTCATCCGTTATATCGCCCAAAAAATTCTCCGTACATGGTTCGTACTCATTCGGATCATCTTTGCTGACATATACACGAGTCTGTATACAATATAAAACACGAGTACCTAATTTTTCTAAATATTCGTATAATTTTAATCGCGCTTGTGCCGTCGTCCATGCCGCGATTACAGGGTTAGTTTGCGGAGAAGGTATGACCGCCTCTTCGCGCAATCGCTACGAAACATATATTATCCCGTCGTTGACAGATAATATATCGATTATTTCGTGTTCCGGACTCGAGAGTAACGTTACCAATTGTTCGCATGTTTTTACGATCTCTGTATTTGACAAATTGGTTCATTGGCCAAATTTGCCCCAAAAAGATGTGCACCCTCGCAGTGCATCGTTTCGACCAGATACCAGCCGTTAAGAGCGTTAGATATTTCGCAATCTAAGAATAACCACTGCTGACAGTGACAACTGCCGAGATAACCGAGCGCGACCGAAGAATAACGGAAAAAAACGAGCGGGAGTAACAATTAGTATAAAATACGTAATTGCTGCTATGATCGCTCTATTCCGTCTTAGTTCCTACTCGGCTCCGACCGAATACCCGCTCCTGACTCTATAGTGAACCGACAAGAAAAACGGGGTAGAGCGTTCTCTGCCTCCGTCGAGCGTTCTGGGCAGTCAATCACTAGTTCCTTGTATTCAATAGCGATACGACGAGAAAACGGGGTAGAGCGTTCTCTGCCTTCGTCGAGCGTTCTCGGCAGTCGACCGTCCGGCTAACGCCTCCAGTGCATCCGCATAACTATCTGCTCCGATAAGCGTTCCACACTGCATCGAGTGCATATTTTTTTGAAATATTTAGTCGGTCGCGTCGCGAAATCGACTCTTTTATCGCATTTTTATGAAATACAAATTCTCGCACTTCGCACCATCGACATCGCTCCGACATGGCGTCTTTTCCTACGCATACTTCGCAAATTGCGTGACGCAGAGAATTAGTACGTGGATTTTTACATTCTCCGTTCCTTCGTGCGTTTCGTCTTATCGCGTTTCAAAATCATAAAATACGAATGCGACGCGGTCTCTTTTAACACGATCGTTCATGTCTTCGATGTCATTAGTATTTGTTTACGGATCTACCTCTCGCATTGCCCAAGCACTCGCACTCTCTTTCGAGTTTTCTATCGAGGTTTTTTTACATTGAAGAGGTCGCATGAAGTACAAATGATTCGAAGACTGTAACGAACGGCAGGTTTTGCAATAAACGACGTCACAATCGTGTCGCAATTTTGAATTAATCAATCGTCTGCAACCGTTGCAAATTTTGATAGTTTCGCAAACGTTTGCGAGCGATTGATCTCGGTGTACGATGACGCTTGAAACACGAACGCCCGAAGAAAACGCAAATGCAGGAATCGCACTTAATTAATTCTATATTGGGGCATTCGCAAGACAAGGTGGCGTGTAGCAACGTGGACTTCTGCCTTTCGAAAGCCCATGTTGCACGCAATATCCTCCGCGAGAACCGGCAGCAGCCTTCAAATTTAATATCGTTGTGAACCCTCATAATACATTATATTTAAGCGATATGACGGTTCGCGACCTAAGGAGGAAAGTAACGCGCAACCATCGTACAGCAGATTCTCGCCTCGTCCAAAAGTACTGAATTTGTATAGCATTATTGCTATATTTTCGGAAACGAGAATCCGCTGAAATTGCTTAATTTCGCGAATTCCACAACCATCTTCAGGAATCGTGATACCTCGCAGACACCGTTAATTCTTCGGCCAACTCGCGCTGTAACGTAGAACGCGGATATCTCACAGATTCCCACCTTTCGTGCAATTTTCCTGTTCACAGTTGTCCACGTTCGTAATGCACACGCCCTACTACGAGTGAGCGTGGAAAACACAAATTATCGGTATTGATGATTTGCAAAATTGAGCGTTTGACTACGTCTTCGCGAGTTAAACGATCAGATTGATGTCCGCGTCCTAAGGTACTGTAATTTTGAAAACGCAAACGACGAAATTTTCCACGATATCGATCCCCCCCAGCACCTTGCGCTAGCGAATTCACGAGTTGCCATATATCCGCGTATGTTAAATCGTGTGCTGGACGAAACGATAAGCCTGCCGAACCACGTGCTAGATCCGCCGATTCGAACGATAATCCGACGTAATCGTTTGGTTCAGCTGAATGCAACGCATATTCGCAGATTTCGCGAAACGCGTTTTCTTACCGCTGTACAATATTAGTACCTTCGGATGGCGGACGTATCGCGAAAATCGCCTCCCTTCCTAGCATCACAAAATTTTAAAACAACACGAGTCTTCTGTCTTTAATTCTATAAAATTAAATCTGACCTCGCATTGACGCTGTTGCTTCTGGTGATGTTGAACGTTTTCAACATGTTGACGTTGCGGATGTTGATGATGGCGATATTGATCAACATTGTTGACTTCCGAGGAATTATGTGGGGGTTCTTCTGCGGCGTTTTCCTCACTTCTCCGCGAAGACACCGCTGTAGGCCGAGCAGCACTACCACCTGATTGTACTGTGAAAAAGTTAAAACAAAGTTTATTATTCCTTCAATAATACCGTTATATATTTACATATATATACTATATATATATATATATATGTGTGTGTATTAGTACATTGTGTAACATGTGTGTTAAAGTTGTTTATTGGGCGACGCGGACGCGGGAGCGCACGAGCGAAGCGAGAGCGCTCCCCCGCGCCCTCGCCGCGTTATAGACAATTATAGCACATGAGTTGCACATAGATTTTTTCATCACGAGTGCACTGTGTTAGTAATATGTTATACAATTATAAAGTTGCACGAGCGAAGCGAGTGCGACTTATGGGATGGCGCATGCATGGGGCGCAGGAAGCAGAGGGGGTTTGGGGGGGAGCGTAGCCCTCCCCGAAAAAAAAATTAAAATATTTCGTAAAT